AGTCCTGGTCGCGGGATGCCGATTCCTTCGTAAAGGACATTGATGAGCCAGGACGCCTTGAAGCAGGCTTCCTGGGCATTCTTTGCTTTCTGGGCAGAAGACTTCTTTCGCGCATCAATCTTGGATTCGATATCCACCCAATTCTGTGTGCAAAAGTCCACCACGTTCTTCTGGTATGTTGCCAAGTCGTATGCCGTCTTGTGACCCTTTCCAAATACTCCGTGGGTCGTGTGCCAAAACTCCGAGACACCGACAAAGTGATTCACGTCGAAATCGATGTTTGGTACGTGCTGGCCGTTGAGGAGGCAAGGCTCATCTGTACACGGAGTGTCTTTTCCAAGGAGAGGTTCGGTTTGGCGCAGGCATTCGTCGAATCGACCGGTGCCGAGTAGGGAGAGTTCTTTGCCCACAGACTCAGCCTCGACAGGGTCGCCTTTGACGTCTGTTCGCAAGCCCGCAGGGAGGCACGGATCCGGTAGTTCGAGGTCGTTGGGCTTGCCGTACTGTTCTTTGAGCTTGTCGATATAACGCTCGCGGGCCTGGTTCGCGCCGTAGCCAAGCCAGGTGGCGGTGAAGACCCTGTGCTCAATGGTGCTGCCGTCCAGGGTGCGCAAGCGAACAAGCTTTAGATCGTCTGCATGCCTCTCAGCTTCTGTGCTGTTTGGCGCGAACGCAATCTGCGCCGAGGCACCTCCCATGTCCAGAAAGCCGTATGTGTGGTGGCCTTTACCGTGCGTGTGCTTGTCGGGGTGGTCGAAACCGCCAAGCAGATAGTTTGTAGCGAGCCAGCCGTACAGACCCTCAGTCTCCCCAGAGATTACCTGGATGTTGGTATTGCAGTCGGGTAGAGAGAATCGCGTGTTTTGTTGTAGGTAGGAGCACATGTTGCGGAGGAGAGCCTTTTGCTGGTGGTCGGGAAGGAGACGCATGCCGGCCGTAGCCATGAGGTAGACGGGCGTGTCGGCAACCTTCTTGTCGGGAACCTCCTTTAGGGCCAAGTTGATGAGGGATTCCAGGTGTCCGTGGCCGATCTCTTCTGGCTTCTCGGCAAAGGAGGACACGCCAGGGCGAATCTTTTCGCTCGTCTGCAGCTTGATCTTGGGCAGACTATGAAGCTCTTCCACAGTGGCATGCTTTATGGCTTTGACGTGATCCTTCCATTTGTAAACGTACAAGCGTGTGCCTGAGGAACCAGCATCAAAGATGATTCCATATCGCCCTATTCAGTGAACACTTGAGTCAGCTGGTTGCACAGTACAACGTCAAACGCGATGTCTTCTATGAGCGTACATTTTTTCCCCATGAGGAGCAGCTGGCGCAGTCAAGCTGCGGCTTATTTGCGGCAGGTTTGGCGTGGGTAGGTTGCAGAAGGCAGAAGGCGAGGCGGGATTATGGCATGGGCGAAGGGAACCCGGCTGATGACAGAGGAGTCGTTATCGAGGTCGAGTAAGCGTGGTGGTACGGCGCCTTGAGACTCGTTCGTTTGATCGATTCGAGTCGGTTGTTTGTTCTTTCGAGATTTGCTCCCTTGGTGGTCAAGGTCGAGGGATTTCGAAAACGCCTACACAAGACCAGTCGCAATCGAGGATCGTCGTGTTTCGCGGCGAGGTGGGCAGAGTTCGCGTAGAGGACGATAGGTGTTGGCAACGGAATGGGTTAGTTGAAAAACAATTGGGTAGTCGTAAAGGCAGGGCGCAGCGGCAGAAAACTGATTTCAAGAGAGTTTTGTCGTTTAAGATTGATTCAAGCGAGCGTCGGTCATCCTGGAGATTGGACAGGAGAGATTGGAGAACGAAGGTTGGCAATTGATTGCTCGATTGATTACCGGCGTCAGGGGAATAAACGGCCAAGGCAAATGGAAGGGACGGGGAGAGAAAAGAAGTCTGGAGACGTGGTTCTAGGACTCGGGGGTGGGACTCTGGAGTGGAGGGAGCTGATGGAGACGCAGACGCACTCGCGGTAGGTGAGTGGGTGAACAGACATACGCAGTAGGCAAACGGAGACGACGACGGGAGACGGAGACAGGGGGTGTGGCTCGTGTTGGGGCCTGGGCTGGCACGCCTTGGTATGAGTTGGTCCCTCTGGGAATGGGATTACTGAGGTGACAGGGTGGCAGAATGACGGGACAGGGTTGCATTCAGCCAGAGATTACGCATCCACGCACACTGTAAAGGTAGGTGGTTTCTGTTATCTCATGTCTTATCAGCGAGAAAAACACGGATAGCCAATGGAAGCTGGAGGCTAGAGCAAGTCTCGGCACTGTGTCGGGCACTTGCTTAAGTACCTTACCTACCTTGGAGGATTAGCCAAGCACCCAAGGTGCCTCAGTGCCTGCAGGCAGCATACAGACTGAGACTACAGAATAGTGGCTGGCTACCCTTTTCAACACTAGTCCTAAAGGTGAGGTGACGGGAGTTGAAAGATGGCAAGCCGTCTGGCTGTGTGTCTGCGCCGGTCTTGACTTCAAACGAGGGAGTGCGTAACCGTCTGATTGTTGGTCATGATTGGTGCCCTCGGGGGAACGTGCCTTTTACCCTCGACTGCCGGATACTTTAGGTACTGTCGCCCAGGGCTACACTGTACCTGCCGTGACAGCACCCAATGGAAGGTTGGACGGAAATGCTCTCGGGGGTTTCTGCATCTCGATGTACGGATACTTGCGCTGAAATCACGGTGCCCACTATTTAACTCTATCGTTTTATATTACTAGAGGATTGCTACAGTACATATAGACGCTACCCTACCCTCGAATTCCGCACTATTTAACTTTAACCCTTTTCTTATCTATTTTTTTTTATTTTACCTTCTTTTTTATTAAAGGATTATTAAAATCGTAGTTTTAATAGCTTATTAATAAGCTAATATTATTATTTAAAAATAAATAATTTATTTTTATATATAAATACTAAGAATCTTATTATTATAAAAATAATAATAAATATATTAAAATACTTAAAAAAGCTTTTTAATAGATTTTTAATACTATTTAAAATAATTATTCTTAAGCTATAAAAAGAAGTTAAGGTATTATATTAATACGGCCTTATTTATTTTATTAATATTAATAATACCCTTTTTAATATAAAATATATTAATAATATTTTATAACTACGTTATTACGCTTTATAAATCGTACTTAATATTAATAAGGATTTTAGTATTATTTATTAAGTTTTTTATTAAAGTTATTATTATAAAGTTAGTTTAGTTATTAATATTTTAATAAGTATTTTAACTTAATTTAAAAGCTTTTATAACTCTTAATTAGAGGTTTTTAAAGGACTTATAATTAGACTTTTTATTTATTATAAATAAAATTATTATAATTAAAACTATAATACTACTTATAAACTTTAATAATAAGTAATTAATAATATAATTATCTTTTTTTTATAATAAGCTTAAAAAAATATCTTAATTTAAGTAATAAGTAAGTATTATATTATTTTATTAAAACTATATTCTTATACTTATAACTTAGAAAGAATTAACTTTTTTCGATAACAAGGTACTCAGAAATCACGGTGCCAACTGCTAAGGTACCTTATCTTGTGTGTCCTCCCTTGATCATCGCCCAGAGCTGTTATGCAGCATTGCAGATAGGTACACTAGAGGTTTCTCACTGATAGGGACCATCAACCCGCGGGCCATCGACTTTATCCCTCACTTCCTTCTCCCTCGACTCAAGGACCGTGCCGGCGCGTGCATCAACTAATGGAAGGAAAAGAAGCCTCGGAAGAATTGGGGGACCACACCAGTAGCAAGCACTAGGTAATCCAGCGCAGCGCGCCACTGTGCACGCTGCAGCGTCCATTGCAGTGCAAGTGTCGCCGGTCGGGCGTGCCGTGGTCCCTTACTCGCCATCGTCGCCTCCCTCTGGCCCGTGCACCGTGAGAATTCTTCGGATTGCTCACTGGGCTAGTGAGTTCACTAGCAGGTACCCCTGCTGTCGGACTGCAGAACTTGGTTGGACCCCTGACTTGGCGTGTCAGATTGGCCAGGCGGGAATGCCACGGCGCGACTACGGAGCACACTGTGCTCGCCACGTACGATGTACCTTACTTGCACTTCGTCGCACCTCGAGGCAGGCATGGCAGGCTACCGGTAGGCACGGAATTTGGGAAGCTCCTTCTGCAACCGTCGTTTCCACGGTTCCGAACTTTATGCTTACCTCATCACATGTCCACCAGGTGCAAGAGATATATGCCCCCCCCCCCCCCACTCCAACCACGAGTCTCGCGACCTTATCGACTGCAGTCCTATGAGCGAGCGGAGTTGTGCAGATGCAGGGCACAGTGCTGCAAGACAGTGCCAAGGGATGCATGCAGGCCATCACGCAACTAATAAACTAACCGGCCCACGGTTACGACGAGGATTGCCCCGTCTGCTATCGCAACCTTGGCCCGAGATAATTTCTTATTCCCTTCTCTGCTCTTTCTTTTCCCATCTTGAAATTGGTGCACAACCTAATCAACCACATGGTTGCGGGGTCCATCGTACATGTATGGCAACTTGTCTTCAAACCGCCACGCATGTATCAAGTCGAGACTTTCTTCCTTTTGCTATTCGCTTTCTTTCTTATTCCTCGTGACTATCAAAGGGATTGATTTATAGGCTCTCGAGTGTCCCCCGGAACAACATGGCTCCGTATCACACTCAACATATTACACTACAATACTTGGGTCGAATGAAGCTCTCCAAGTCCAAGTCAATATCACTTCTGCTTGCAAGGGGCAGCTCGTCGACCCACCCCCGCCCCCAATGATATCACGCTGTGCTTAACTTCCCATCTATAGCCTTCTTTCGTCTCAACATCCCGTCTGCTCTACCAGCATCACCAACTCTCCTTGGATTTGTGTCTTGTTCCCGCCCGCTTTGATATCTGAAACCACCGAGCGCCGATGTTGAGCACCAACGTCATACACCATCGTCCGGGGCTGCAGCGAATGGCATCCGCCCTCCCGCCGCGCATCATCCGTCGCCGACCCCTCACCCCACTGTCAACGCTCGTCCTGGCTTTCACCTGTCCTCCAGATGGGATGACTCCCCAACGCCTCCCATTGCAATCCCAGCTTGCGCCTATGCGGTGGCCCGGATCCCAGCTCCGGGAGAACAGGCAATGCGCTATAAACCAAGGCCGTCTGACTGCTGTCGACATGCATCGGTGACGAAACTAGTAGTCGAGGTTTCTGCTGTCTTCGTGCTTCCAGGCTGTGTCTCCTACCTCTGCACTGTCGCCACCACTGCACCGATCGTTGCGCTGCTGCTTGTAGCCATCTGCCGCCTAACATATCGCCGTTGCTGCCGCTCTTGGCGCGAGGTCTGTTGAACTTTTGCAGTTTCTTCCGTTTCTTCGGCATAGTCTTGGGACTCTCTTGGCCAGTTTCGATGTAACGCTCTTCGCCCACACGCGACAACGACGACGTTGAGCTGTATCTCTTGATGGACCTTGGTCGGCCGAATCGTGGCATGACTGACAGTGTACCGAGTTCTCGCTGGCAGGCTCAGCAACTCAAATCGACTAAAGACAAGACTGATATGCGTATATCAATTACCAAAGGACTGTCAAACGCCTACCGTCATCGCCCCTGATATAAGTCACATCTCCGTACCCAAAGGCTCCTGCTACTTCGGCTACAACTCGTGGCCCATCCTCGAACAAGGTCTCGACCTCGTTTCAAACTCTTGAACAAGAGCCTTCATGTTGAAAACAAATATGTGGGTCGTCTATCGTCCATATTCCTTTTGCAACTTCTCCATCTATTGTTCCCTCCAAACACGTGTCTAGACAACAAAGGCATCTGTTCTCGAAGAGAACAATCATGGCCCATGTCACGGGTCCGCCAAATGACCAAATGCTGCGGGAGCAAGGCCTGGACGTTTGACTGCTGTCCCAAGTCGTTAGTCGCGATGTTTCAGAGGCGAAGGATGGAAGAAATACGATAAAAATATGGCTCCGTTTCGTCGCGTCCCGTAGAGCCATGACTACTGTGACTGGTATGACCAGTCCGGATACCGGAAGAGAGGCCAACTCCAAGACCTCGCCCACGCGATATGGGCGGGTATTTTGCAAGTGGGAGGCTCCCCGAGGGACCGCGAGGCATTGGTGTTCCCGTTCCCGTTCCCAGCCCGGACGCAATCGATAGCCCGAACCTTTCATGGCTGCCACTGGCATGTCCTCGGGGTGTACCTCGTGGGGTGCTCATGATGCCGCCTTCGCATTTTGTCAGCGTGCAGTTTCGTCGCATGTTAATAATATCCGGCTTACCTTGCGCAGGTCCTGGTTTTGACCAAGCTCTGTCGTCGCAAAGCGGCCCGGAACCTCCTCCGCCAGCAAGAGGTCTTCGATGTCCCCTTTCCGGCCCGACGTAGGAATGTGCATTGTTGTACGCAGACTGCGACTGCGATTCGTAGATGTTTTGCCTCGCTGCGGGTTCAGGAAACTCAAAAGCCGGTAATTGTAAGTCGTATTGAAGGTTGGAGTCAACTGCATCCGAGGCGGCAGCCTCCATCTGTCCCAACTCGGCTTTCCGCTTGACCTTGTCGTAGAGTTCCTGAACTTGTGTGAGCTTGCGGCACTTGTCTTGGTAGGAACGCGCAAGTTCTTCGTGTTTCCGTCGCATGTCGTCGTAGTCAACTGAGAGAGCTACTGGAAATTAGCAAACTTGTCTGTGACCTCAAAAGACGGCCACGCTGTTGTTTCGTACCTCGCATCTTTTCCTGGAGACTCGAAATGTCGGCATTCGCATCACCCACCGTCTTTTCGAATTTGGTGTTTAGGGTTTTCAGCTTCTCCGTCAGCGTCTTTTCGAGATAGCGCTGGTATATACTATGCTAGGTAAGTGACCAATGCCGAAGGAATTGGGACAGGGACCAACTCACACTTCTTGGGTTGTCTGGTAGGCCCAAAAGCTCAGAGCCCTTCCTGCACATTCCATGATTATGTTGGGGCTCAGCCCGCTGAGAACGCTGGTTTTGTAGTCTTCGGTCAGGTTCAAGTTGGTCACCACAGCGTCGTCTGGATTGTTGAGCTGGCATTCACAAGCCGGGCACGACTTGCGGCGAACCTGAGCTTGGCCCGTCAAGCCATGACGCTTAGAGCAGTCTACACAAAAGATGTGGCTGCACAGGTTCAGTTAGCTAGCGGCTGCTTGATTTGCTCAAGGATATCTTACTCACCTGCACGTGGTGACCAAGGCCTGGTCACTGAGCTCTTTCCGACACTTGAGAACGTTGCATTTAAGAGTATGTTCCATGGCCAACGCTGATGCTGGCCGTTGGATTAAGGGGAGGCTGTAGGATTTGCTACGTTTGGGGAACCTCGATGCTGGTCTGGCTCTTCACCGCCGCGATGTATCGAGTAGTTGTTTCGAAGACAGAGTATGGATTTTCGTGATTCGCTCGCAAAGTGCGAGTGCCTGTCCAGAGGACTAGGTTCGATTCTATCTCGGATCTTTCTCAAAAGAACTTCCCAGAGGTGAAAGGTATCGGTAGTTCAAGAGCGTTCGAGAGAAGAACGGATGCCATTGTTGCGGGTAAAGAATTTCATTGATGTTGGACTTAGCCTTCCTGGGGTACTTTCCTCATTTGACCTCCTCGTAGGGCAGTGCGCTGGCCGATATTTCTCCGCGTGCGCAAACTGATAAGTGAGGTCCGCCCTCACGATAGGTAAGGTACCTTAAGGTAAGGAAGGTGGCGAGGACCTACCACAATTACCCACCTTCATTTGGTGCAGGCACGTACCTAGTACTTACACCATGGACTTATGAAGATGCTCCTGCCTCGTCGTTCCTCGAGTAAATGCTAGTAGATACCCGCCTACGATATGGCCGTGACTCTTCCGCGAGAGAAGAGGGATGGGTCACATAGTATTGAAATGAGATGCCTGGCCTATCAACATCGCTTGAACTCACTTTACGATACTGACGGGCTTGCCCTTGAAGTGATGGAAACACTGCCGCCTTTGTCTTGTTTCTCAACGAATAATGTTGCGAATAGGAGGCCGATCGTCTGTTTTCGAAGCTGAGGAAAGCATCTAGAAAGTCGGCTGCCGGAGCCGGTGGGAGACCCAGCCCGACTGCACCGGAGTGGGGCGCATCCCAACGGCCCCCAATCCCCGCAGTGCGGTTCGTTTCGTCTCGGTCTATCGGCCGGGTTTGGGTGACCCACAGTTAACCGAATCAGCGGGGCCGGCACTTTTCGCCGCTGTGGCCGTGTCGACGATGAGACATGCATGAAGCAGTGTCACCAGAATTCTGCTTCGCTTTCTACTTCGTCTAATTACCGGTAGCTCAGTGGTCCCCAATGAGTTTCACCAAGACTTCGAGGAGTCCGAAGGGACAATATTGAGCCTCGGTGTTTTCCGCTAATTCTGAGCAGAGCATGACCCGGTGGTCGCACCGCCCGCTGGAGGCATGACTCGTATGCCTCGTCGCATCCCGTCGACCGAGGCTATTGGCACGCCGGTGCCATCGGGGACTTAGGCCCGGTGTCAAGAGATGAGCAAAGCCTTATTCGTGGTGGGACGGCCGAGTCACATCGTGTCCTGGCGCCCTAGCATTAAGTCTCTCGGCTCAATTGGCAAAGAACACTAGTCACTGGGAGTCTAGAATCTAGAAGAAGGCTACATCCTGGCCTACAATGTAACACCGCAACCCTTGTGTACTGTGGTATAGTCTTCAATTGAAGGCACACAAACGTCACAGAAGCGAGAGTCGCGGCAACTAGACACAGAGTGTAATGTCAGGTTTCATTGTGTACAACCTCAAGATATATCTTATTGAATTGCCGTGGAGTACAGAATGACTGGGTTCGGCATCTGTTATGACGGGCGTCGGGCGTCTCTCTCGACGCCACACTCCTGCAGAAGCCCCTTGTCAAGTACGTCAACCTCTGATGAGACTCATTTGAGCCAGAAAGGGCCTGGCAGCGGTATACGAGCATCATTGAGCTTAACGGTCCTCTTCCTAGTGAAATGTTCCTGGCATTCTCTAGCAAACAAGACTTATGATTCGCTCATCGTACAGATACGCGTTTTCATGTCTCTGCTCTTGCCCAACGGTGAGACAAAGCTGGTCCTCAAAACAAGGATAGAGGCATGCTCGTCGCGCACTATAAGGCTCTTCGCGCTGGAAAGGCTCCAGTAGCGTGGCATCTCGTTAAATATTCAACACTATCTTATTTTCCCCGGACAGACGAAGAACACCACGGCGACAAGGGTCTCTGCCGATCGCCTACATTGTCAAATCACCGTAGAATCGTTATGTGGCGTAGCAGGCAAGGTACAATGAGAAATAAAAGGAAGAGCGAGGCATGTGAGGCGCCAGAGGGTAGGGGAAAACAGGGACTACAGAGAAGTCAGAAGAACCAGGACTAGAACAAGGATCATGGGATGATTCTGGATGTGTGGGGTGCGTGGCGTCTATGAGGGGGAGTACAGAACAGGGGTAACTCTGCTCTCTGCGGGCCGACATCCCAGAGAGGCCATCCTTGACACCTCCACCATCCCATTTACCCGCCCAATCGCAACTCGGGTCCTCTCGGATATCTGCGCGTTCATCCTAGCTTGGTTCACCTTACCTCGGATCATGGAAACCTCAACCTCAACCTCTCCAGCTCTAACCTCTGCATGAACCCCAAGCTTCTCTTTGAGGAATGGGGAGCATGACGCTAAGAGAAATGGCCACCATTGACGAACCTTTGACGAACCATCCTGCTCCGTTCCAACCACTCACCTCCCAGCCAGCCTCGTCTCGGCCGACGCCATGGCATGATCGCCCGCTCTCCCGATCGCGACGTTATGCTTGAAATGAGTAACAAAAAGTCCCCTCCTTTGTGCCCTGTCATAGTTGTGCAACCCGAGGTAAGGTACACTTGCGCTATGTGTTGTTCAGGGGTAGGTGAAGCTCCTGCTATTCGTCAGCAGACTTATAATTCGCTGATGCTCTGGAGCACGTCTTGTTATGGAACAACCTCCCGCTTCTCAAGGATGGGAAAGTTGAATAATGCTCCATGACTTCGCGGTACGTAGGACTCTGCACATCACTCGCATCCAAGGCCTCTTTACAGCCATGTGCCTGCCATGGCCGCAGCAGGACGTAAAGTTATGCGGCCACGCAGGGACTCATTAGGATCGTAGGACCGGCCGACGAGGCCCAGTCTTGCCTTGCCGGCACTCCAGAGTAGCTCCTCGCATGGCAAAAACACACGTGGTCGATGTCATTGTTGCCAACGGCGGGCCGGCGAGTGAGCCCGGGGTTAAAGTGAGCTCCAGGCTGTCTCTTGTCACAGTTTGTTTTCTTCATGGGGTCTCGTTTGATTGCAGGTCATACGTAAAATCGTCATCGTCATTTCGGGGCGTTTCCAGTAATCTTCGCTGCCATCATGTCCCGTTTTCCATGCTTTCAGGCGCGCCCGCCACCCTCCCCCCTTTCCTCTTTTTGGCCCCGTCAATGTGACTGGCGTACGTTCC